CTGTACCCAACCCAAGTTTGATCTAAATTCAAGTTTTCAATCAAAAGTACTTTGATTCACTCGGCCCAATGTTATGTCACTTTTAAGGCCTCTTTCTAAAACCAACTACTTTTCGAAGACGAGGAATGAAGGATTTCCGTGAATGATAGATGAACCAGCGAAACCTAGACATTGGGCCTCACTCTTTCTCCAAACCCAGTTGACCCTCAGCCCATTCATCAATGAAAACCAAATAGAACACAAAAATATAGCAGTCTTCATATTTTACCAAGTGCAAGATTGATTGTGGTATGCTAATTTACAATCAACTAATTGAGAAGTTGAGGTCTAGTAAATTTCTCTACTTTTTATTTGTAATTTTGACTTGTTATCCGGAGTTTGCATTATCAATGTCACAGTTCCAGATTGATTATGTCACCATGTTTGTAGAAGCAATGATAATACACATAGATACAATACATTGAACCAAGAGGTAAATTGCAAATATCTGTGTTGGTGTAATATGTTTACAACTGAAAAAAAATTGAATTTCAGCTATAATACATGTATGCTAAACATGTTGGAGAAGGACTTGGGTGGATTAATTTGAGTAACGAGTTCGGTAAGAAAATAGAGGTTTCCTTTTTAATTTTACCATACAAGAAGATCCTGTGTCGAATTATAAGGTAGATCCGTGAAGGAAAAAATGACACATCTGATTGAGTGTTAGTTTCAGACAATATCCTATTTACACATAAAATATGTGGTGAATCCTTTTTTCATTGGCGAAAAATACGCACCCCCACCTTACGCTTACGTGGACTTGAACTCTCGACCTTACACTGTTATCAGTTTACGTGATGAATCTGCAGTGGCTTTAGGATGCACAAAACTAGATTTGTATAAATACCTAATTAAGATACTAGAGAGGAAGCAGATTTTGCACCTTTCGGAAACTGATAATTTAATGCAAGCGAAGTAGATTAAACAGAGCATATAATTAGGCCATGCTTAAAACAAGAAGGTGTTTATAGCTCTAACTATTAAAATAACAGCTTCTTTCTTTGGGAAACATGAAGATGGTTGCAGAACCTCCAAATTATTCTCCCGTGCTGATGGTTCTACTCGTGTGTGTTTCCAGACTATATTTAATTTTCCCATTAAATTCACAACTTGTTAAAGCAACTGGATTCTCTCAAATCAGTTTGGGCCGGGGCTGCATAAAATTTTAAGCAATTTACCTTATGTTTGTTATGCCACTTGCTCACATTTTTGTCACTTTCATATTCTTTTTTTAAAATATATATATATATTTTTTTAATGAGAATTTCATAATTGTGTTGCAACCAAGGGTTAAGTAACTTACGGCCCAATAGTACCTCCTCTACCTTCCAAAATGGATGATGAATTTTCAAGTCTCCAAATGATGAATGTCTGTGTGAATTTTTTACCAATGACCCAAAGAAAAGAATAATAATAATAATAATAAAGTAACTTGGCCCTGGTGCGATGCCCCCATGAATCACTAGGCAGAAAAAAAAATCTTAATTGTGTTGCAAATTTAGGTTTTAAGGGCCGGCATTTGCAATCAGTTGACCAATTCCACAAATCATACTGCACAACTATCTTGAAAGGTTGACAATTATCCTTAGGAGATGCATGGAGATGGAGTTTGGCGTGAGGATTTCCTCATTTATATCCCTCCATGCATTTTCAACCCTACTATTGAACACATGAACTACCTTTTCCTTTGACATCATGCCCGGATGCTGCCTCATGTAGCATAAAATTCCTGTAGCAACATGTCCGTTCTCTATTTTTTTTATTAGACTAGTCATGGTTTTATGGACGAGAGGAATAAATTATCTGCATGCTCAAATAAGATAATTTGTAACGGAGTTATGGAATGAACATGATGCTTGTCTATTTAATTTGTGTTCATCAAGAAATTAATTGATATGTCTTATTATTTTGATCTATCAGTTACTGGAGTAAGCATGTTAGTCTATATCTCTATTTATGCTTATTATGGTTCAGTTGCTATGTACATTGATTATGTATTCTATCAACTGTTGGATGGATTGGATTGTATACACCAGTATGGGACGGTGATCAACTGTTGGATGTATCTGTTTTCTTATTCTACCGTTTGGTTACAAATATGGAACGTGTAAAAATAGAATGCTCGTTCTCATTTTGTGTTTAGTAAGAAAGTTGAAATGAAATGAATTTATATTGTTTTTTAAAATTATAATTTATTATTAGTAAAAAAAAAAATTAATTAAAAAAATTAACATCTACGAAAATACAGGGAAAAGAGATAACAGGGAGAGAAAATGGACGAGAAAAAAATGGTTTCTAATTAAGACCACTGATCATATAGCAACAAAGGGAGAAGAGATAATAGAGAGAGAAAATGGACGAGACAAACACAACAGTGCAAAGAACAGTCCCATACGACGCTACACATGCTAACACGCGCCACCTGAAGTTCTGCTCGCCCGACGCATTTTCTTTTCCAATTATCTTCTCCGGCGACGTTCTCCAGCAAACTAGTCCAAATCATTCATAGTCGCCGTTTCAATCCACTTCATCACTGGATCAAACCCTCTACTTGCTCGTTGAGGCCGGCTTTGCTTCTTTCTTCCTTGTTTGTCGCCGGTGTGTTTACAGGATTAATGTGGGTGTGTTTACAGGATTGATGTGTGTTTGTAATTTGTTGTTGAAGGTTTATGTTAAAATAACTCCACAGGTTTGGTGGGTCAACAAGGCAAGGCAACAGTAGATTCATTCCAGATAAAATGAATTAAAATTATCACGAACAATAAGTCTTACCACTTAAAATGCATCTCCTCTGCCCAAGGGAAGACAAGGGAGTGATTCTCCGGTATATTTCATTGTACTTCATATCATGTTTTGGGAACCAAGAAAGGAGTTGTTTCGAGTCTCAGAATTTTAACCATTAAGCAAAAGTGTATCAGGCACAATATGTCGGTTATCGGTGTAAAAAAAAATCTAAATAAATTAACCCTTTTGATCCCCAAAACATGATTTGAAGTCCCATGAAATATGCATTATTCTCTTTATTTCTCTAGACCAATAGAGTGAGGACTTCTTCGGGTCGGCCTTCCATAACTCTGATTTATGAACTAGTGATAGTAAGAAGTTGAAGTTGAACTGAAACAAAAAGCCTACTGAAAATATTAAAAAGTAAATAAAAAATACAAGATGGAGGGGAGGAGAAGAGGTTTGTCGTCGAGAGTAGAGAGGAGGAGATATGTTGAGAGAGAAATAAAAAATACAAGATGGAGGGGAGGAGAAGAGGTTTGTCGTCGAGAGTAGAGAGGAGGAGATATGTTGAGAGAGAGAGAGAGAGTAAGGGAAGAGAGGAGGAAGGGTCAGTCAAAACGGAGTTGTGTGAATACGTGTCCACAGAGTGGGATGAATCCTTACAAGATACTTGTAGTGAAACCCTAGAAGATTTTTGGGAAAATTACATATACATGGAGTCAAAGTTTCATATTTACTTAGAGACTGAGTCAAAATTCTATATTTTTCTAAAATGGATTGCTGAGGTGGCACATAGTTTTTTACTGTTTAGAAAATTGTGGTGCCTAAAATGCCCTTCCCTAACAAAAAAGTAGTACCTTCAGTGTAAAAAAGTAGTACCTTCAGTTCAAAAAAGTAGTACCTTCGGAAAAAAAGTAGTACCTTCGCGGGTGTTTAAAAAACATGGTACCTGGACGCCAAAAAGTAGTACCTTCAGTTCAAAAAAGTAGTACCTTCGAAGAAAAAGTAGTACCTTCGTGAAAGGGTATTTTAGGTACCACAATTTCTAAACAGTAAAAAACCATGTGCCACCTCAGCAATCCATTTTAGAGAAATATGGAACTTTGACTCAGCCTCTAAGTAAATATGGAACTTTGACTCCATTTATATGTAATTTTCCCAAGATTTTTTCTCCTTACAAATCGGAAATTTTATTAGGACATTTATGGAAAAATACGGACAATTATTTTGTTCGTACAGTCTAAAAAAAAAACTTAACCTAACCCTAATTAGGTCCGCAGGGTTAGTCAGTTTTTAAAATCTAGAACAGATACGGTGGGCTTCATTTATCTGGTCAAAATATAAAAATAAGCCAAAAAAAATTTTCTTCTGAAAAGAAATAATAGGTTGTTCAATTCTTATAAAAAATAATGAATTAACTCAAGGAATTTTTCTGTTAACAAGAAATAAAATAAAATAAAAAATCTGGGCTTTTCATTTGTAAGAAGGAAATTTTCTTCAAAAAAAGAAAACTGGATACCTAGTTATGATAAAATTAATTTTAGTGGGCGAATTTTAGTAATTTAATGAGCTTGGACTTGAATTGTCACCCCTACTAAAACCTAAATTTGCAGTACAATTATGATTTTATAATTTTTTTTCTTTCTCCATATCTATGGATCAGGTTAATGGCTTCAACCTCAGGCGGATTTAGAAACAGATAAAAAACTACGAAGGCATTTTTTAATTTACCTGGTTAAAATATAAAAATAAACCAAAGAAAATTTTCTTCTGAGAAGAAATAATAGGTTGTTCAATTGTTATAAAAAAATAATAAATTAACTCAAGGAACTTTTCTGTTAACAAGAAATAAAATAAAATAAAAAATCTGGGCTTTTCAATTGTAAGAAGGAAATTTTCTTCAAAAAAGAAATACTGGATACCTAGTTATGATGAAATTAATTTTAGTGGACGAATTTTAGTAATTTAATAAGTTTGGACTTAAATTACCACCCCTACTTAAACCTAAATTTGCAATACAATTATGATTTTATAATTTTTTTTCTTTCTCACCTAGTTGAATTCATATGAAAATGAATATGTCTAAATTCCTTGTTTAACCGGTCTTTCCTTCTTATTTATTTAGAATTTCTTTTGAGGTAATTCTTCGCAGGAAGGAGATTCTTCAAAGGAAGGTTACTTGAGCCCCTCGGGGTTGCAATACAATTATGAAATTCTCATTAAAAAAAAAATTTAATAATTTGAAAAAAAGGAATATTAAAGTGACAAAAATGTGAGCAAGTGGCATAACAAAAAATTACTTACAAGTTTATAGTAACCAAAAAAAAAAAACACAAAAAAAAAAATTAATAGCCAATATGTACAATATCAGATTATATGCAGCCCCTGCCCAAACTGATTTGTGAGAATCCAGTTGTTTTTAATAAGTTGTAGTAAAAATTAAATATAGTCACTGCTGGACTGGAGTAGAATCATCAGCACAGGGGAATTGTCATTGCGATCAGCTCTTGGGGGCTTCTTGTTGCTGGTATAATGAACCACATGACAATCTGCATAAAACATATTCAGCCAACAATTCTTTTCCCACTTGGTGAATCTTACTTATTTATTTATTTTTCTTTCTAAAGCTCCTAGTGTACTTTATAATCTACTAGAATAAATGTGAATAAAATTACAGAATCCCCTCCACAACCCAGTCCACACCTGCCCCCTTTCTTTTTTATTAATTTAATTAATTTATTTATTTATTTATTTTGTACTGGGGTGAACCGCAGATAGGCTAATTACTTTCTTCTTTCACGAATTTAATATACATTTTTAACTAAAAAACAGTAATTAAAAAAAAAAAATGATTTCTTTTCTTTGTATTATGCTTTTATGTAGAAAAGGAGAAAGGGAAGAGTTCCTGACTTCAAATATCCTCATCGGATGATTCTTCTTCTTCCAAGAAGACCTCATATCGTGGAATCTCCAATTGATCACACTTGACTTGTGTTTCAAAACATTTGTCGAATATGGGGAAACGCTGTCCCACAGTCAGATGCGAAGCTATATACGCAACTCTATTAGCTAGACTGTTTCCTTGAGGAAGTTGAAACTTTATTTCATAATCGTCAAATTTTGACAACATATAAAAAATGTTACTGCAAAACAAAAAAATTTATATCAATGTTATTGGAAACTGGAATCTAAATTTAAAGAATGAACTCAAACTTTATAATTAAAGCTTACCGAAAAAATTCATAAAGTTCATCATCTACCATTCGTGAGGGCGAATAATGACTTAGCAACTTGAAAATTTTTTTATGGTCAATCTCCAATATTATTCTCTTAACTTTCAATCTCCTTTGGAGAGTTTCATATATCCCATGATAGACTCCAAGTAAGAATAGTTCATCTCTGGATGCCGTATCAGGAAATGGCTTATGGAAAATTTCCAAATTCCCACCTTCAAAAATCCTACCCCTAGAATCTCTCAATACTTCATCTCTATATGTTGTATCAGGAAATGGCTTGTGGAAAATTTCCAAAATCCTTCCCCTAGAATCTCTCAATACTGCTCCACAACCAGCTTCTTTGGTCCCTCCAAGATCTTCCTTACAAAACCCAGAAACGTTTAACTTGTACCACCCACTAGGTGGCGCTTCCCAAAAACAGACGATTGCGGCTAATGTCCCCCGATAATTATCCAAAACATAAATTTGCTGCTTGAACATGTAATTATAAATCCTTTTTCGGTACTTTTCATCAATCCTGAGGAAGAACCACATGAAGTCTTCTACAGAAAGATATCTCATCAACTTGGAACCCCCATCCACATGCAAATCCGTGTATTCCATTTTGAACAACCCATAATATTCTAATATTATGTTGTGCTTCTGTTCAAAAAAATGATCTCGGTATCTAACAAGAGCCTGTTGTTGAATGATCAAACAATACATTAGTTAAAAGACTAATCTGAATTATATAAAAATGAAAAATTATAAAGATATTGAACTTACGACTACACTTTCGAAATCCAACGAGTCCATTTCCTTGATAGAAGCGGCAAAAAACACCTTAGAATGAAGGGTTCCTAAGGAGGCAAAATATAAAATCACAATTAAAGGCAAAAATACAGTAACGAATATATGTCAGCAAGACAACTTGTATATTTTAAGTCCATGGTTCCCGTCGAGCATATGTTGCGCGCACTGGGGGGTGACCCCGTGCGTGCATGCGCTTGGGGCAAGGCCTCTTCCATGTATGAGCACTGGGGCGTGCCTCGTGCATGAGCGCGCGCTTGGCGTGTGTGAATGTGCGCATGAGCGCGTGGTGGTGCATGTTCCCTTCATCTATGCGTGCACTGGTGTGTGGCCCCTTGCACGCGCGCACTGGGGGGTGACCTCGTGCGTGCATGCGCTTGGGGCGAGGCCCACTTCCATGTGCGAGCACTGGGGCGTGCCCCATGCATGAGCGCGCGCTTGGGGCGTGCCAATGTGCGCAAGCGCGCGTGGTGGTGCATGTTCCCTTCATCTGTGTGCGCGCTAGTGTGTGGCCCCTTGCAAGTGCGCACTGGGGCACACCCCCGCGCTCTACTTCACTAACGAGAAACATTTCTTATTTTATTTTGCCAACACTTAAAAAAGGCAAAACAAAACAAACAAAAAAATCATGTTTAAAAAAATGTTTTTTTCTATAATAGAAAACAGATTCCATTTTTGTGAAGGAAAGAGGATACATTAAAATGTATTTCTTATGTTTTCATCAGTGTAGAGCAAAAACGCATCACTATTGTTACTGTTGTCAGGGCCTATTTGTATTACTAATATAATGTTGGGGCTTGTGTGTATTTTCTGAAACTTATTATTATAAATATAATGTGGTGGAAGAATGAAAGTATTCTTTCATTCTTTCTCTCTTTCCCCATCTCTCCCTCTTTTTCTCTCATCCTCTTTCTTCTTTTTTTCTTCTTCTTATACTTTACTTTTTTATTTGATTATCTGTTAAAGTCAACATAGTATCAAAGCATGGTTTGTAAAGCTCTAGGCGTGTAGTTAAAACCCAAGAGTTAAATCACTAGCAACACTACGTACTTGTGTGTGCAGCTGATGTTAAAGCATTTCGTGCTATTGTAGAAAGGAATCAAATCTATGAGTTCTTAGGTAGTCTGCATCCGAGATACGAGCATGCCAAGGTACAAGTGTTGGGCAGGTATCCAACCTCTACTTTTGTTAGAGAAGTGTTTTCGTATATCCAGACTAAAGAGAGTAGAATGAAGGCTATGTCTGCACCTGTATACACTAAGCTTGAGTTAGAAGTACCATTGTCCAAGAGTTCTACTCTTGCCACACAACAATGGAACAAGCCCAATCCTCCAAAAGGAGGGAAGCAGGATAACAAGAGCAAGTTGAGGTGTGATCACTATGGGTGTACGCACCACTAGGGAAACATGCCGGAATCTACACAGTCGCCCTACTCCAGCTCCTGCACATGCAAATGCTAGGCCAAGGCCTGGTCCATTTAAGGGGTTATCTATGACACATACTGCAGAGCGTGCGACTACTTCTACTGGTCATATCTCCTCAGGGCACCAACGGGTTAGTGGCCTAGCGGTATTAGGCTCCTACTTCTCAAAAGGAGGTCAAGGGTTCAAACCTCAATGGAGGCATGTATGTGTGAGTACCAACTAAAAAAAAAAAAAAGTCTCCTCAGGCCCACTGAGTTATTTTTCCGGGGCTGAACTAGATGCTCTTCGACATCTATTAGCTCAAAATGCCTCCATTTCCACCTCTAACTTCGCTCAAACATGTAACTCTCATTCGGCACATCAGGTTTCCACATTATCTGTTGGCCACCTAGATCATTGATTCAGGAGCCACTGATCACATGACTGGTATGGCATGTGATTTTTCTTCGCACAGTTTATGTTCTGGTAAGGATAGGTTAGAGTGGCTAATGGCACCTCCATTGTGGGGAAGGGCACTGTTTCTGCCTTTCCTAATCTTACTTTATCCTCTGTTCTTCATGTCCCAAAATTTACCTATAACCTCCTTTCTGTCAGTCACATTACAAAAGACTTGAGTTGTACTGTAACCTTTTTTCCATCTCACTGCGTGTTTCAAGACTTGGATACGGGGAAGACGATTCGAAGTACATGTGAGGACAATGGCTTGTATTTGCTAAACGTGATGCCAACTTCTTATTATGTTGCAAATCAATCTAGTGTTAGGAATAGTAATGTCAATAAAGATCTATTAAACAACCATCGTCGTCGCCACTGCAGCACTCACAGGAAAACAACGATTCATTATTTAGATGCCCCGCCCTCCAGCAAGACTGCCTCTCCTACATCGCCATTGTCAATTGGTTTGGTGCCTCTGCTCTGCCAGAGAATATCGCGAGAGGGCATGATTCCAATGATGTGGTGGTGGTTATGAGGGTGGAAATGGTCGTGGTGGTGCCGTTGTTGGTTGTGTTGGTGGTTATTAGCCTGTTGGGTGGTAGGGCCGGCCCTGAGATTCAAAAAATTTTGAGAGACCCTAGGCGAATTTTCAAATGTGAAGCCCTTTATACATAAAGTTTCATACGAGCAAAAAAATTACATGATTGCGAATTTACATAAAAATCAGACGACAAGCACATGAAATCTATTAAGGTTAAAAACACACAAAGCAAAAATCGGTCTTGGTGCTTTATAAAGAGCACCATCCAATTTACATTAAAAAATTTAAAAATATTCAACACAACTTAGTCACAAAAATCAAAATTCAACTTCATAACAAAGTAAATGTGACTGTCTTACATTTTGAGATGCAAAATTATAAATTAAAGTACTCTGTCATAATTTTGTTGTTTGAACTGGGCTTAACTATCATGCATGCACGTGAGCCCAAAACTAATATAATAATAAAATAAATCAGTTTCTTGTTTAAATATAAAAAATCCTTTATTCTCTTGAAGGAAAGGGATTGAAACAAATTATTTTTATAATATAAATTATTGTATTACATATCAGAAATTTTTTTTGAAAGTTATTTACTGCCATAAATTTACATGATATATGATTGTGTGTTGTCTTTTAATTATGGATTTTTTTTTTTTTTATAAGTATGTTGTCTTTTAATTATGGAAATTATGGCTTGAATAGATGTCTTTCAATTGATTAAAAGACTAGTTACGTTCAATTATGAGAAGTAGTGATATTTCATACATATACTACTATATTACATTACGGTACTAAATTTGAGGCCCTTCCAAATTGGTCACCTTGCCCCAGGACCGGCCCTGCTGCATGGGGATGGTGGCGGCGGTTATGGGAATAGTGGGAGTGGCACCACCACAGCTATGTTGATGGTGGTGCCTTCGCTTCTGGTTCAGAGGAGAGAGGCTAGGGCACGGAGGAAAGATTTTGAGAGACAGTGAAAGAGAGAAGATAATGATAATAGGTTTCTGAATTACTTAAATATCCATATTTTTAATAACGTGGTGGTATAGAATGAAGATATTTTTGTCCAAAAATAATAGGGGCAAGCTTATCCTCCCCATGAAAGAGGGGATGTTAGCTTTCCCCATATATATTTATTTATTTATTCATCTATTTTAACTATAGGGTATCAATCTATTGGAAGCTCCCACCCAAATTCAAATTGAGTTTTTACAAATGAAAAAAAAAAAAAAAAAAAAAAAACGCAACATATTATGAGGATAATTCAAAAGGTCACAGAAGTACAGGTTAAAACAATGAAAATATACAGCTGCAATAGGCTCTAAGCTCATAAGCTGTAAATAGAGCTTTTGGATCACATAACTTGTACTAAAATTATCATTAGATGAAAAGTAATGAAACATGACACATCCATTACAAACACTTACGTGGATCCTCAACGTTGATTGCATCACCATCTGCATCAGAAGAAAAAGCATTACTCTCAACGTCAGTTGCATTACTAACTGCATAAGTAGTACGACTCGTAAACCATCGCCGCCTGTCGCAAGTGTTCCTCACCATCATTTGCTGCTAACAATACAAATATTCAGTCAGCCAAGTTTGACAGATGATGTAATTTTCTTTTGAATTTGATCTCCTATAGAAGGTCGAAATTCAGGCCCAAACCAAATTTAAGGTAAACCAAAAGTCTTCGACAACAATATGAAAAATATAAAATAACAATAATAAAATAACTGTTATGCTATATGGAAAACATAGTAAAAGGCAATCTTATTCAACCCAAATACTCACATTGATCAAGTTGGGATCACCATCATTTTATTTAGGGTAAAGTTCAAAAAAAAAACCTTGAACTATGACCTTTTTAGCAAATAAGGTCCCTAAACTACAAATGAGGCAGAAAACCCCTGAACTAACCACTTTGGTTGCATTGCCCAGTCCGGCGAGCTTCCATTCGAAACTTACCATGAAACGACCGCGTGGCTGTCACGTGACACACAAAATATAATTCAATTGCCATAATGCCCTTTTTTTTTAATAAGTAATAATAAATTAAAAAAGGCGTTCAATAGGGGAACGCGTCCCGTAGATATAAAAGAAACCGGGGTCTAAGGCCCCAAAGAATCCAATAAAGAAATTAAATCAACAGAAGAGGAACAGCACGTTTGTTCACATAACAAAAAGGAGAACGAATAATAAAAAGTTTCAGTGTCACTGTAGACGACTCATTCCCTTCAAACATTCTACTATTTCGCTCCTTCTAGATGCACCACCAAATACAATGTGGTACAGATCTCCAATAAGCACGAACACTCCTACTCATACGACAACCTCTCCAAGCATTAATCAGCTCCTTAGTAGAGCGTGGCATTACCCATCACATGCCAAATAGGCCAAAAATGAGATTCCAGCAATCGTGCGCTACAGAGCAATGCATTAGGAGATGATCGACTAACTCCCCATCCTGCTTACATAAACAACACCAATTAACAAGAAAATTTCCCCTTTTCCTCAGATTATCAATCGTCAAAATCTTACCCCAAACAACAGTCCATACAAAGAATGCCACCCTAGTAGGAACCATAGAACACCAAATAGTCTTCCTGAAAATCATAGGATGCAAAATTAGAAAGACAGAAGAACAAAGACCTTACTGCAAAACGCCCGTGAGAGGAGGGAATCCAAATCAAATTGTCATAGCCCCTGCCAATTCCTTGCCGATACAATTGATCCAAGAAAATGCTCACCTCTTCCAACTCCCAATCCTGAAATGAACGCGGAAAATGAACATTCCACGTAATCCCACTATTATCAAGCTGATAACAGTTAGCTACTATGGCATGTTTATCAACTGCAATACGATATAATCTAGGAAATGTACGACATAAAGGCTGGTTCCCACACCAAAGATCATCCCAAAAACGAACGCAACTACCATCACGAACTCTGAATCTGATATGAGAGGAAAAGGCATCACATCCTTTCCGAATGGATTTTCAAGCCCCAACTCCTCCCGCAATAGAAACCGGACGTGTAGTCCATCCGCCAACATCTTCCCTATACCTGCAAGATACTAATCTGCGCCAAGGACGATGTTTTTCCTTCCGGTATCTCCACAACCACTTACGCAGAAGAGCTTGATTAAAAGGAATCAATCGTCTAATACCAAGGCCCCCCAATTTTATAGGCTTGCATAATTGCTCCCATCTAACAAGATAATAATTGAACTCATCTCCCCTTCCTCCCCAAAGGAAATTCCTTTTTAATTTGTTCAATTCTATCAGCAACGGAGCATGGAATTTGGAACAAAGAGAGAAAATAAGTGGGAAGGCTTGATAAAGTGCTCTTAATAAGAGTTACTTTACCCCCCTTAGATAAATTTTGCTTCTTCCAACCTGCCAACCTCTTTGCATACCTATCAAGCACAGAATCCCAACTCCCCACTAACCTGGAAGAAACCCCTAGGGGCAATCCCAAATAAGGGATAGGAAAGGAACTCACCCTGCACCCAAGAACTGCAGCTAAAGAAGAAATGTCCTGTACATTCCCAACCGATGCCCTTATAAGCATGAAAAGACTCTAATGCCCTTTATTGTTACAATTACAACCAAACACCTCTTAACTGACAGTTACATCCAAACACACCCAAACCTAATTTCCCAAAATCCCCAAATTCATATAATTATAAAATATATATATATATATATATATATATATATATATATATATATATATATTATAAGATTTGATGTATATATGGTGTATGGTGTCAGCGCGAAGGGGATGTTAACCGTGAAAGAGAAGCAAAGCGAGTCCTTTACAATGCCAACACGAATCAATCTGGGGCACGCCTACAACACCAACACCGGTTAAATCAACACCATTTGGACTATGGGTTCAGGCATACAATTTGAGGATGCTAAAATTTATACATGTTGAGAGTGGCACTAAGCCAAGAATGTTTTTTTTTTTTTTTTTTTTTTTTGATAAGTAAAATTGTATAAAAGAGCTCAAAAGGGGAGCGAAACCCGAGAGAACTACACAAGGCCAAATAGGGCCTCTAAACTTTCAAAGAGTCCTAAAAATCAACAATCTCCGCTAAAGATCTATAATTTCTACCTACAACCCAACAAAAAAGAGTGTAAATAATAGAGAACTTAAGCATAGCAATAGAATTCTCCTTTCCTTCGAAAGATCTCTTATTCGTCTCTAGCCAAATACACCACCAAACTCCGTCATATTCAAGATTACCGCTTTAATAAAGAGAACAAATCTTTTTCTATATCTAGCAATTAAGGTCTAGATAAAGAACAAGCAATGCCGGCCTTACAAAACAGCAAATTAACAACTTGAACATCACCCGGACTGATAGAATGGTAGAAATAGCAAGCAAAAGTTGTGTCTTAGTGAAAATATTGTAATTAGTACACTGATCACAAACCTAATCTCAATGAAAGTGAGAACTTATTATTCGAATTCTAACTTGTCTTACCCCGTCACTTGTGCATCAACCCCATCAGGTGGTAAAGCGAGGGACAAGAATGGGGGCTCCTTGATGATTTTTGGAGTTCAATTCCCTCTCAGTCTCATATACTGCCTATTTTTGGGTCGTGTTGCCTAAAGCATCTGATTCTGCAATTTGGAAACAGCTCTTAGAGGTCAGAGAATTTCTGTTGGCAAAGGCGTAACCCTCCAAGCATCCCGGACTTGGGTCCCCACTGTAGAACCTCTCCAAGCCTCAATGATGCAAAGCATAGATAGGCCTGCAGACCTACAGGTGACTATCCTACAGGTTGTATCCAGCTCATGAGAAGGCTGGATTCAATGTTCTACAAAGGCTGCATCCAAGATATGGCTGAATGCAAGCTGGATTCTATCCTTGTAGATAAAGGCTGTATTTGATTGAAATATTTTATGTTTTCTTAGTGATTAAGGCGTCTTAGATATTTTGTGTTTCCTTACAATTAAGGAATCTTGTTTCCTTGGTCGTTAATGCTCCGTTTGGTAGGAAAGAAAAAAATTGGATGGAAGGGAGAGAAAAATGATGGATGAAACATCCCTAGGGAAGAGATTGTGTATTTCCTTCTTTTTGTTCAGTTGTATAGAAGAGAATAGACTAAGCTCATAATTTACTATGTTGGTTAAGAGTGAAGGAAATATAAAGTTTTGATTGTTTTTACCATTATATCCAATAATATTTATAATATAGTAATTTATAGAGGATATTACTGTAATTTAAAACTTGTATAATTTAGGATAGAATTTAATTTAAAACTTCTATAATAGTCCACTTGTCTTCCCTCCTTTCTTCCGCCCATTTTTGGACGGATGAAAATTTGTAAAGGAGGACTATTCTCCTTTCTTTCCTTGTATCACCTCTACCGAACAAAGGAATTTTGTTCCTTCCTTTATATTTTCTCTCCACCCCTCTTCCTTCCTTCCTACCTAACACAGCATAAGGAAGTTTTTGATGCTTATATTTTCTGTTTTCTTAGTCATTAAGTTTTCTCAAATATTTTGAGGTTCCTTCATTGTTAAGGGAACTCTTTTTGATGCCTATAAATAGGCATATCTGTAACTGAAAAAACAGTTTTTGGAATATAGTTTTGGAATAATAGTTTTAGCTTGAGTTTTGGAGTGAGACTTGTGAGTCTCAGGTCTTCCTCCATTCTTCCCATATTCTTGTTGTCATTTACCACTCAGTCAATCTAGCCTATCTCTATTCACTCTGTTTCCTTATCCTATTCATCTGTTTCTTCCTCTTTCCTTCTAGCCTCGTCTCATCTTCTATTTCCCATCCCCTTCTTTCACTCTAGTTCTAAGATTGTGTCATAACAAAGCTACCTATCTTATTGCATTCTGCGTCAAATTGGTAGCTGAACTTTTGTGTTCTATATCAATTTGGTATCAGAGCAAAGAATCCAAGTCTGTTTAGAGCAAACTTCAGTCCAGAACATCAATCAATCAAAAGCTCTAACTCCACAGCTGCACTCCATCACCACCAACTGAAACCACACCCTGCAGCCCACCTTACTATATCCCCGGAATCCACCATCCATTAAACCTCACAACCATCAGTTACCAAACCCAACAAAACTTCTGTTACTTTCAGCCTTAACCCATCCTTACTGGTCGTCATCAAAACCTATCAAAACACCTTATTGAAAACCTGATATTGACTCCTGTTACCACCTAAACAGAAACTATCAACCAGCCATCAACACGCACCACTCAGTTCTGCTGCTTCCATTAACCAGCCATCAACACACACCCTTCAGTTATCGTATCAGTCCTAAACGATAGTGTTCAGTTTATATTTCCATCACAAGACTATATTCAAAGTCGTAACAAATTCTTTAACCATTTTCATGTTTTGACAAAGAAATTTAAGAACTTACACTCATGTTTTCACAGGTGAAGAATCAACTGTCTAGAATTTCTATGTTTTTTTTTTAATCAATTTAGAACAACATTTAAATTTTTTTTTTTTTTAAGTGTAGATTTGTTTCTTTTAATCATACATCACGCATAACTAGTTATGATGAAATGATGAACAGTTGAGTATTGAT